TTATCAATACGAATCGAATGTTTTTTGAATCATTCAAATCGGTTGAACCGTGTTCCCAAAATCGTCGATGAAAATTTGTATCTGCACACACACACACACATACATCTATTTTTTCTAAGGTATTCCAAAATGTTCAGAAACCTCTAAAACGTAAAGATATATAAAAATTTTCATTTTCGATTTTTTTGCGATTACTATAATGTATATACACATTAAAAATCTCAAAAAAAACTAAATCAGAAAACTAAGGAAGAACAAAATGGTTTTTCTATCACATAAAGATAAATGGAATTTAGTGTAGAGAATATGTCCATCTTGCCTTAAATATTAAATATGAAATTAATTTTCTGTACTAAAGTAATAGTTAGAACATAACACATTACTTAAGGGGGTCTTCCTATGTGACGGCCTGTTTTTTAGGGATATTTTAGATTTTTTTTTCTACGACCAGTAAAGAGTTAGAGCTTCAAGTTTTTTATCATTTATTAATACATATTTGGACAGTATAAATATAAAATTTCAGCTAAAAAAATTTAGTCCAACTAGAGTTACAGCGCTCTAAACACCCCCCCTCAAAAAGCTCCCACTGTCTCCACGATTCCGGCTGATCGGCTTATCTGACCAAAAAAAATAAACGGAGTTTTAATTTGTAGGCTTAAAAGCACGGAATGAACTACAATCAAATGAATACAAAAAAAATTGGATGTTTTATAGACATTTGAAATAAAAGTTGCAAATTAGGCGTTTTTTTTTTGTTTTTTTGCTATAAAAAATCTAAGTTTTGAAATTTTTGATTGATAATAGTTCATTCCATGCGTTTAAATATATTGAATGTGCCCTGTAAATTTCAAGTAATTCGGTCCAGCCGTTTCTCAGATACAATGGAGACAAGTTTGAAAAACAGTTTTGAGAAAAACGCGTTTAAAGATAAAATGATCGTTGTACTATATACTATATGTATACTTTTTAAATGGCTGTAACTCAAAAACTATTTGAGATATCGATTTGAAATTTTAATATGTTATTTTTAAAGGTATAATCTATTGAAATATGAAATAAAAAAAAATTCAATTTTTTCAACTCATCACATAGGAAGACCCCCTTAATGACTTCAGCATATCATATCTTGCTATATGTTGTTTTATTGAAAGTATTTTGTTCCTATATAAACTTTATAATAATGCTATAAATTGTCCATAAGTTCTTGACCAACACATTCCTAGATTATCTTCAAGAATAGAAATATATTTCAAATATCCTAGTTTGAAATTTAATGCTCTTAAATTCGTCTATTATACTAATGTCCTCTGACATTAACTCAATAAAGATATCGATTGTCACAATACTTCAATAAATCAAATATTTACATGCTCAACTTAATCTGTATATTTCTTTTCGAATATGTTTTAGTATTTTACTTTATTCCATATTTTTATTATTGTATCAACTATTCTCTGGGCTACACAATGAAATAACGGAATAAATAATACTTGAGTATTAGTATGTATTCACTAAGGTGAACAATTATGGCACAATATATTTTTAAATATAATTTTTGGCGAATGTGCACGTGAACATTTGTTGAGTGATTTGAAAAAAGATTTAGTCACAAACTTTCGGAAGAAGCAAAATTTGAATTAAAAGAGTTAATATTACAGAAGTCCGAGAAGTTACAATATAGGTGAAAGTAATTTAGTGTAAAAATATACAAACATAACTTGTCTTCAAACAATACATCAATGAATATATGGATAGCTATTATTATTTATGATATTAATTTTCTAAACTCTATATTTTCTTAATTGTCTAAGTTATACTTGAGTATTAGTACGTACTCACTAAGGTGAACAATTAAAGCACAATATATTTTTAAATATAATGTTTGGTGAATGTGTGCTTCAACATTTGTTGAGTAATTTTTTAAAGATTTAGTAATAAATTGTAGGAAGAAGGAAAATTTGAATTGAAGGAGTTTTGTGTGATGAATATTATAGACGTCCGAGAAGTGACAAAAAAACTAGGTGACCATAATACAGCGAAAACATAATGCAAATATAACTTGTCTATCAACAATATTTCATTGAATATAAGGATAGCTATAATTATATATTATCTTAATTGTTTAAGTTATACTTTAGAATTAGTACTTACTCACTAAGGTGAACAATTATGGCTTGATATATTTTCCAATATAATTTTTGGTGAAGTGCACTTCAACACTTGATAAGTGATTTGAAAAAAGATTTAGTTATAAACTTTCACCAGAAGGAACATTTGAATTAAAATATATGTGATGAATATTACAGAAGTCCGAGAAGTCAGAAAAACTAGGTGTCTATCAACAATATTTTATCGAATATATATTCAATGGATAGCTATAGTTATAATTATTATCTTAATTGTCTAAATTATACTTGAGTGCTAGTACATTCTCACTAAGATAAACAATTATGTCTTGATATATTTTCAATTACAATTTTTGATGAAGCAAGATTCAGTTACAAAGTTTCCGAAGAAGAGGATATTCTAACCCCCAAATGTAGAATGAAATAACTAAAAGTTGAATGACAAAAAATGAGGCTTTTAGTTCAGATAATTAAAATAAAAAATACATACATAAATATGTATGTGTGTTGTGTGTGAGTAAATACAAAAATTAAGAGTTTTAAGTATATTTTCATGAACTTGCACTTTTATATTATGAGTGGAGACAAATTGTAGTGCTTGAAAAAAAAAATACAAAAACGATTTCCACAGTAATCTATCGAAGCATTCTATTCAATTAGAAATTTATTCTGGTACACAATGTTCAGGGTCATTGAAACTTATCAATCTAGACATATTATTCTTAGATAATATTAAGCTAACACAAATTAAAAGTACAGAAATAAACAAGAAAATGTGTTAAAAATATAACAATGCCACGATTGATGAAAATCTAAAATGGCTTACCCACCGATCGGAGCAATTTTACTAGTTTCTTCAGGCTTATTTAATGGATGTGAAACACTTTTGGAACGTTAATTAGAACATTTGATGTTATTTACTTGCACTGAACATAAAATATAATAAAATTGTTGACTTAAATATATATTATTTGATGAATTGAAGAGAAGTGTTTTGTGAAGCTTCTCCGTTTGGCAGCGCTAGAACGAGACCTCGATAGAATGAAAGGCGCAATCTTGTCAAAAGGTCTGTGGTCTGAAGTGGAGAGTCGACAGTGGAGTACACAACCAAACAATCCGGAATGGCCGCCGCCGCTTTTAGTCGCTGCTAGGCCAAAGCGATTCGATAGAGCGCGAGATACGAATTACTAGCGACTAATTTGAAATAACAAACAAAATTAAAAACATTATGATCGAGTATTGTATATATTACATTTATGACAAATATTACAAAGTATTATATACATACTTAATGGATTTACTTCTTATTTTTTTAACTAAATACCCAAAGATAATTCACATTTGGACACAAGAATAAACCGCGATTTTAGAATATCCCAAGAATAAATAATTTATACATTATATATATATATATATATATATATATATATATATATATCTATGTATGATCCTCTGAAACCGTTTTTTCATCGCTCCGCGAGCTATTGTATGCCAGCTGCTCTTTCTTTTCATTATAAACCTCATGCACATGACCTTTTTGATGTGTCAGCATCTTTGAACGCCATTGGTGTACTTAGTACATTAAATTAAATGGTTTATTTAGTACATTACATTAAAAACTTTAAATACGTTTTCTCAAATTGACGTTTTTCAATGCGGTGCCACAATTAAAAAAAAAAACTACAAGTCGGATCGACTTGTATTTTATTATATAAAAAACCATTATAAAAAAAAGATCTATTATACAAATTCTAGCAAAAATATTTG